CTATCCTCTCTGTAAATCTGATTTCCAATAAAAATAAATTGTTTAAGAAAAAAGAAGAAGAAGAAATGTTACAGGTCAGGTACATACAGCATGATGGCCGGGCCCAGGGCAATAGCTCAGTAACTAAGTCCTCAACTTGCAGGCGCCAGGATCCTATATGGGCACTGGTTCTTTTCCAGGCTGATTCACTTCCCATCCATCCAGCTTCTTGCTTGTGGCCTGGGAAAGCAGTCGAGGATGGCCCTTGGGACCCTGCACCTGCCTCTGAGACCTGGTAAGCTCCTGGCTCCTGGTTCCTGGGTTTGGATTGGCTCAGCTCCAGGCATGGCAGCTATTTGGGTAGTGTACCAGTAGATGAGGATCCTTCTGTAAATCTGATCTGCCTTTCCAGTTGTTGTTGTTGTTGGAAAGGCAAATGTACAGAGAGGAAGAGACACAGAGAGGAAGATCTTCCAGCTGATGATTCACTCCCCAAGTGACCCAAGGGCCAGTGCTGCGCCAATCCAAATCCAGGAGCTAGGAACTTTTTTCCGGGTCTCCCACGCAGGTGCAGGGTCCCAAGGCTTTGGGTCATCCGCTACTGTTTTCCCAGGCCACAAGCAAGGAGCTGGAAGGGAAGTGGAGCTGCCGGGGTTAGAACCAGTGCCCATATGTGATCCTGGCATGTGCAAGGTGAGGACTTTAACCTCTAGGCCACTGCGCTGGGCCCAAAAAAACATGTATTTATTTTTTTTACTGGAAAAGCAGGTCAGAGTTTACTGAGAGAAGGAGATTCAGAAATATCTTCCATGTGCTGCTTGACTCCCCAAATGGCTGCAGTGGTTGCAGCTGAGCTGATCCAAAGCCAAGACCCAAGAGTCTTTTCGGGGTCTCCCATGCGGGTACAGGTCCCAAGGCTTTGGGCCATCTTTGACTGCTTTCCCAGGCCACAAGCAGGGAACAAAGTGGGAGTGAGGCAGCTGGGATTAAAACCAGCACCTAAATAGGATGTCAGCACCTATCGATGGAGGATTCATGTTCTAAGCCACTGGCCTCATAAATGAAAATTTAAATATTTCAGGGCGGGGATGAAGTTGGTTAAGGTGTCACCTGCAGTTCCAGCATTCCTTATGGGCACTGGTTCAAGACCGAGGTGCTCCACTTCCAATCCAACTCCTGACTAATATGCCTGGACAAGCAGTAGAAGATGGCCCACTGATATGGGAGGCTGGAATGAACCTCCTGGAGTCTCCTTACCCAAGCTGTGGCTGTTGCAGCCTTTTGGGAGTGAACCAACAGCTGCAAGATTTTGTCCCTCTCTATCTCTGCCTTTCAAATACAGTTTTGTTTTTAAAAGATTTATTTTTATTATTTTTTTTTTATTGGAAAGGCGGATATACAGAGAGGAGAGACAGAGAGGAAGATCTTCCGTCCAATGATTCACTCCCCAAGTGAGCGCAATGGGCCGATGCTATGCCGATCCAAAGCCAGGAGCCTCTTCCGGGTCTCCCACGCGGGTGCAGGTTCCCAAAGCTTTGGGCCGTCCTCGACTGCTTTCCCGGGCCACAGGCAAGGAGCTGGAAGGGAAGCGGGGCTGCCGGGATAGAACCGGCGCCCATATGGGATCCCAGGCGTGCAAGGCGAGGACCTTAACCACTTGTGCCACTGCGCCACCGCGCCGGGCCCTCAAATACAGTTTTTTAAGAAACATTTTTAAGGATGTATTATTTTTATTTCAAAGGCAGATTTCAATCAATCAATAAAAGGCAGACTTATAAAGAGAGGTAGAGAGAGAGAGAGATCTATCTGATGGCTCAGTCCCACAATAGCCACAGCAGCTATGTCTGAACCAAGGCAATCCAATCCAGAGGAGCCATGAATACCCTCTGGGTCTCTAAGGTGAATGCAGAAGCCCTATAACTTGAGTCATCCTCCTCTTCCCCCTCAATGACTTCTTTATGTTTGTGTTTAGAGAAACCAGACAGTACAGTCAGAGAATCAGTCTGTGAACGTACTGGTTACTCAGGAAGAAGAAGTCTTGGGAGATGCTGTGACCAGCAACTCATAGGCAGACAGACCCAGGGCGTCAGAGGATTCTGGGCTTTCTCTGTGTGTGTCTGCCATCATGCCAAGGCAAACAGGGCAGCGAGGTTGGTTTCTTCCTGCAGGAGTGTGGAGTTTCTGAACAAGGGCCAAATCCCTGTTGGCTAGTCCTTCTCTGACACTGTGCTCTGTCTCCTCTGGAGACCCTGCGCTGCCGCCTTTGTGCCTCCACTCCCCCAGCTCCTGCTCTTGGAGGGTACTGATGACATACTCGCTAGGTCCAGGGCCTTTCCTCGGTGTCTGCAGGATTTCCTGTGATTGACTAACGCCCTGATTTTGGAAACACTTCTCACTTATATATTACGACTTTTAACATAATTCTGTTAGGATTTGCATGCATAAGCAGCTACTTCTTGCCCGATCTCAAGCCATTTTCATATAATCCCTCAATTGTTATTTGTGTAAGGGAAACATCATTCCCATCTTACAGATGAGAAAACTGAGGCTTAAATAGGGGTTGAGCAGTCTTCCCTCTTCATGCTAGCAGGCACAGGGGTCTGTTGGCTCGGGGTGTGGTCTATCAGCTTTATGTGGGATTTATCAAGAGGAAAGCTTTACACGGCAGGTAAAGGTAGAGTTCTCTGAAGAAACCGTCTCTAGGGGATTTGCCAAGGATTTGATAGCAAGTTAGGGGAGCAGGGAAGGGGGTGTGGGAGCCCCTTGCTGCTTCTCCTGTTGGGACATTGGTTCCTATACGCTGTGTGTGCTGCGACCAGATTCAGCCTGGCCTCTCCCACTGTTCCTGTCTGTGGCGCGCCCCTCAGTGCGTGAGTGCCACATTGCCAGGGGAGCTCCCAGGAAGTCACCCCCAGGCTCTGCTGGTTCCTGTCTCTCCCCCCACTGACATCTTACACTCCTGGGCAGGAAGGAGCTATTGAACCCAAAGAATGTAACAGCTCAGCCCACGGCTGGCATGAGGTGCCCCCGCAGCATTTTGTGAGCTCAGCAAACCCAGTTCCTGCTCCCTGCAAGCTAAACTAAAACCACTCTTGCAGTTTTGCTTGGGACTGTATTGAATCGGTCGTTCATGTTGGAAACATTATTAGTTTATTAGTATTAAAGTTTCCAGCCCATGGTACACAAGGTTCAGAGGTTTTGAATTTCAGCAGTGTTTTTTGGTTTTCAATATGTATGTCTTCCACTTCTCTGGTTAAATTTTTTAAAAGATTTATTTATTTTTATTGGAAAGGCGGATATACAGACAGGAGGAGACCCAGAGGAAGATCCTTGGTCCGATGGTTCACTCACCAAGTGTCCACAACGGCCAATGCTTGAGCCAATCCAAAGCCAGGAGCCAGGAGCTCTTCCGGGTCTCCCATGTGGGTGCAGGGTCCCAAGGCTTTGGGCTGTCTTCGACTGCTTTCCCAGGCCACAAGCAGGAAGCTGGATGGGAAGCAGGGCTGCCGGGATTAGAACCGGTGACCATATGGGATCCTAGGTGTTCAAGGCAAGGACTTTAACCATTATGCTATTGCGCCGGGCCCTCTCAGGCTAAATAAAGTTGTATTTTTGATGCTGTTTACATAGTTGATCGAGGTAGGAAATATCACGTTAGGGAAAAGTGGGTGCAATCATTGTTTCCAAATTTTCTATTTGTTCTTCCTGTTCCTTGGCTAAATTTATTCTTAAATATTTCAATCTGTTATGTTTTTAAAGATTTATTCATTTTTATTAGAAAGATTTACAGAGAGAGGGATAGAAATATCTTTTGCCTGTTGATTCACTCCCCAGGTGGCCACAACGGCTGGAGCTGAGCTGATCTGAAAAGCCAGGAGCTCTGCTGGGTCTCCCACACGGGTGCAGGGTCCCAAGGCTTTTGGCCGTCCTCAGCTGCTTTCCAGGCCGGGAACTGGATGGGAAGTGGAGAAGCTGGGATTAGAACCATATGGGATTCTGGTGGATGCAAGGCAAGGACTTTTATAGCCTCTATGCTACCATGCTGGGCCCCCTACCTGTCTCTTTATCTATGATGGCTTTAAGGGGGAAGAAGACTAAAGAAAAGGACTGGGAAGATGAGGCCAGACAATAGTTCAGATACTACCCCTCACGTCCTGCACTGGTGCTGCGGAGTGCAGCAGGGCCCAAGGTTTAACTTTACCCAGGGCTTAGCATGAGCCTGAAAGATGCCTAGGACTGAGCGTGGCCCTGAAAATGGGACAGGGTTGGAAAGAGCAAGCTGGCCCAGGCTCTGTGGTAGCGCGGTCTAGGTGCTCCGCTCTCCTTGGGGTCCCCGCTCTCCTGGGGGTTCCCGCTCTCCTAGGGGTCCTCGCTCCCTTGGGGTCAGTTCTCTCCCTTGGGGTCCCCGCTCTCCTGAGGGTCCCTGCTCTCCTCGGGGTTCCCGCTCTCCTGGGGGTCTCCTCGGGGTCCCCGCTCTGCTGGAGCTCCCCGCTCTCCTGGGGCTCCCCGCTCTCCTGGAGGTCCCCGCTGTCCTCGGGGTCCCCGCTGTCCTCGGGGTCCCCGCTCTCCTAGGGGTCCTCGCTCCCTTGGGGTCCCCGCTCTCCTCGGGGACCCTGCTCTCCTGGGGCTCCCCGCTCTCCTGGAGGTCCCCGCTGTCCTCGGGGTCCCCGCTGTCCTGGGGGTCCCCGCTCCCTTGGGGTCCCTGCTCTCCTCGGGGTCCCTGCTCTCCTGGGGCTCCCCGCTGTCCTGGGGGTCTCCGCTCTCCTGGGGGTCCCCGCTCTCCTAGGGGTCCTCGCTCCCTTGGGGTCAGCTCTCTCCCTTGGGGTCCCCGCTCTCCTCGGGGTCCCCGCTTCCTCGGGGTCCCCGCTCCCCCGGGCCCGGCCCTCCAGCACTCGCAGTTCCCGCCTCGGAGCTCGGGCCCCGCCGAGCGGACGGAGGAGGGGCGTCTAGCTGGTTGCAGGGCCCGCCTCCCGCGCCAGTTGCCAGGGAGCCGTTGCCATAGAGCTGAGCAGTTGTCCGCGTGCGCAGGCGGAAGTCCCGGATTGAGGCGCCGCCATTTTTGCTGCCCGGACGCGGAGCGAGAGGGTGAGAGTCGGAGACGCTATCCGCTTCCATCCGACGCGCAGACCCTGCCGGAGCCGCTGCCGCTATGGATGATCGGGAGGATCTCGTGTACCAGGCGAAGCTGGCCGAGCAGGCTGAGCGATACGACGGTGAGTTGGCGGGGCAGCGAGGGGCTGGCATTCTCGGACCCTCTGCCGCCGCCCACAGAGGCCGGGAACGGGAGACAAAATGGCGGCATCGTCTCCGAGTCCGGCCGGGGGACGTGGATTCAGGGAGCGGGAGGTGGCTTGTGGGCTCCTGGGGCGGTGTGAGGCACCGGACCCGGGAGTCTGACCCCTTTCGCGTCCTCAGGTGCGGACATTGGCGAGTCGAGAGGCCATGGCGGCAGGGTGGAGGAGTTGGTTGTAAAATGGCGGCTGGGAGGGGGAGGGCGCGTCCCCGGGCGGGGGAAGGGGAGGAGATGGCGGGTGCTGTCTCTGGATGAACAATTCCCCCCGGGGAGCCTTCTGGGAGGGGCAGTGTCGGAATGTGGGGAACCCTTGGGTGGGGTGATGGAGGGGGCAGAGCGGCAGGCGCCTCTCGGGGCGGCGTGAGGACCTGGAGCTGCAGCGCGGGCGCCTTTCAGGGAAACATGGCGGGTGGGGGCGGTGGCTTTTCCCGGGAGGCCCCGTGCGGGGCGGCGGCGGCCGTGCGGTCTGACAAAGGAGCAGCGGCTCGGCGGGCGCAGGGCGAGCGGGCGGCCGTCGGGCTTCGCCGCACGCCTCGCCTCGGGGGGAGAGCGCCCGCTTGTCGGGGCGTGCCTGGCTTCTGGTGGGGCCGACATGGAGGAGCCCCGGAGACTCCCCGAGTTCTGCCTCAGGCTCCGAGCCATCACCGCGGCTTTTCCCTTTACCCAAATGGAAAGGGTTGAAAAATGAAACACGTTGAAGTAACTTGTGTTTTGGTTGACTTCCCCAGGCTTGGGAAGCGTGTTCCTACAGTCTGGTCAGGCCCTCAGTTGAGGGTTTTTGCATTGTGAATGTAGGTGAGCAAATTGCTGTAACGTTTTCCTTTGAAAGGCTTTTTTTTTCCCTTGGGTGGGACGGGATTTTGGTAACCGTTTTTCATTGCTCCTTAAACCCTAAAGATTCTTCAGTATTTCTTCCTTACCGAAGCATGCGTTGTACCTTATCTAGTCAGTCTCAGATTTTTTTTTTTTTAAATCCCGTACCCACCCCCATTTTGGATATTCACGTTACTCCGTATCCTTTCAACTGCAGTATTATAAAAAAACGAGTTATTATATTTGTGATTCTGGGTTTGGCTGATTTCAGCGGTGCTGTTGGTTCTTCATTACCTAATCTCTGTATCTTGGGTGTGTTCTAAAGGCCCCTCGCGTGCTTTTGCCAATTTGGTAATATGAATAGCCACAAGGCATGTCCCGAGTATTATCAGAAATTTGGATTTAGGGGTTTTGAAATTGAGAGGCGAACTCTAACCCTGAAATTTGATTAAAGGTACTGCATTTTGTCTTGTAGTGAATGGGGTGCCTGTTAGGAGGGGGTGGGGTAGGGGGGAAGTGCAGCTCAAGGTCAGCTTTACCTTTTTTCCCCCCCAGTGTAAAGATGTAAGCCCTGGGGCAAGTGGGTGCTTGGGATGCCGCTCTTTCCTCCTTCTCCGTTATCCCCAAATTGGCCCCCCTCTGGTCTGCGGCGCCCTTGGGGGGAAATTTGAAATGACACTTGAATGCATTGTTCTGTGGAGATGTAGGCTGAATGCGTTTCACTGTGGTAACCAAGAAGCATATGGTCAAGGCTTTGATTTGGAAATTTGTTTTAAAAGCCCATTTGGAAGCTTATGATTGTGGCTTCATAATAAGACAGGTCAGTGACAAGCCTAGGAGTTTGCCTGCTGAGAATTTTTTTTACTAAATACCTATTGGCTGTTCAGCTGAAGATTGTTTAGCTAAACTCTGAAGTTACTCATTTGTTAAGTGTCCCTTTCAGGAGCTGAAGGGGAAAGGAAGTGGACTCTTCCAGCTGAGGTGTTTCTGTGGTGGGCATAGGTAGGCCTTCAGGGACAAGGGGGCAGTGAGCCAGTCCCAGCCAGCAGCACCCACCCCTGCCTGCTCCCAACTGAGCGCGGTAATCGAGTTTTGTTCATGGTGACAGAGTGATCCTACAATCCAGTGACCAGACAAAAATTGCCAGATGCGGGGTTTGCTTTGCAGGGTTTGTATATGTTACCTTTCTTTTTCTTTTTCCAATATCAAGGTATGCTAATCTGTTATTTTGTAGACTGTGTTGAACTGAGGGCCTAAGCTTTTATCTCTGTTTAACTGTCCTGGCGAATTGGGATGGATTCATGTGCATTGTTTAACTTGATACATGGAAGTGAGAGCTAAGATGTGCTTTGGAGCAGGACAGGTTTGAGTAGGAAATTGTAGTTCATGGAACAGTTCATGCTGAAGAGTGAATCTATCATCACTGTGCTAATCCAGTCCAGCTGAGCGCTTCTGAGGCCCATCCTGCAGTCCTGTCTGAATCACATGGGGTAGAAACGTGGAGACTGCAAAGAGGGAAAAGTAAATGGTCCCCCCCCTTGTTTTAAGGATTTACATTTATTGGAAAGGCAGGTTTTCACACAGGAGATAGAGAGAATGCTCTCAGTGGTTTGCTCGCGAAGCAGCCACAAACGGCTGGGCCGAGGTCATCGGGAGCCAGGAGCTTCTTTTAGGTCTCTCATGTTGGTGCAAGGTCCCATGGCCCTGGGCCATCCTCTATTGCTTTCTCAGGCCACAAGCAGGGTGTTGGTTGGAAAGTGGAGCAGACAGGACACTAACCAGTGCCTAAATGGGATCACATTGCTTGTATGTGGAGGATCAGCCAGTGATCCATTTTGGCCCCTACCAGTTTATTTTTATTGGAAAGGCACATTATAGAGATAAATTTTTTTCTTTAAGATTATTTGAGAGTCTGGCATGGTAGCCTAGTGGCAAAAGTTGTTGCCCTATATGGGCTGGGATCCCGTGTGGGTACCAGTTCACCTCCCAGCTGCTGCACTTCCCATCCAGCTCCCTGCTTGTGGCCTGGGAAAGCAGTCAGGGAAGGCCCAAAGCCTTGGGACCTGCACCTGTGAGAGACCTGGGAGAGGCTCCTAGCTCTTGGTTTTGGCTCAGCTCAGCTGGCCGTTTTGGCCACTTGGGAGGTGAATTAGTGGACCAGAAATCTTTCTTTCCTTTTTTCTGTAGATATAATTTTCCAGTAAAAATGCAGAAATGTTAAAAAAAAGATAAAATATTATTTGGAAGACATGCAAAAAGAGGACAGAGGGAGAGATGACATGTCCTCTGGTTCATTCTTCGACTGGCCACCGCAACTAGAAGCCAGGAGCCTGGGACTAATTCCACATGGTGTGGGGCCTAAGCACGTGGGCCAGATGAGCTGCCTGCAAAGGTGTGTTAGCATGGGGCTGGGTCAGAAGTGAGCAGTGGAGACTTGAACTGGTGTTATATGGGTTGCCAGCACTGTAGGCAGCGACTTAACATACTGTGTCACAGCACTGGCCCTGGAATGACATTTTAATATGACTTATTTGACGTGTTGTTAACAGATGTAACATGCACTGGTTCACTTCCAACTGTTCAGTCTCAACAGCTGGGACTGGGCAAGGCTGAAGCCAGAACCTCGTCTGGGTCTCCCAAATGGGTGGCAGGGGCCAAGTGCTTGGGCCATTTTTGCTGGCAACATTTAACATAAAGCAGAATTGAAAGTGGAGCGTCCAGAACATAAATCGGCAGCCATAAGATGGTGATTTTGCCAGTGCCAAATCTCCTATCACCCCTGAATGCATGGTTTTTTGAACATTATGATGTAGCAAGCTGACTCTGCCTATAGAGCTGGCAATCCCTATGGGCATCAGTTTGAGTCCCAACTGCTCCATTTCCAACCCAGATTCCTGCTAATGCACCCGAGAAAGCAGCAGAGGATGGCACCAACACTTTGGCCTTTGTATCCACATGGGAGACTAGGAACCTATGAATGGAAAGTTCTTTGCCTTGCTTACAAATTTTTAAAAAATTTTAGAGGTATAAGACTAAATGTCAGGCATTTTTTTCCTTATCTCAAGGAAATGACTTGTGTTTATATAAGTGGTAATGACAGGTGTCGTTAAATTTGTTAGCAAGGCAGAAAGAAAGGTCTTCCATCCGCTGTCACTCAGCATGTAATGGCAGCAGCCTGGCTGAATGCAGAAGTCAGGAACTGCTTTAGGGCTGTGGGGCAGGAACCTGAGTCTTGGACTGTCTCTCTCCTGTATACATTAGTAGGAGACAGCGTGGAGCAGCGTGGATTTATCCTTGCAAGGGATACAGGCGTGTCTAGAGATGATTTAATCTGTTTCATGATAATAGATACCCAAGACTGTTTTTAGTTTAGTTTTTTCCTTTTTTTTTTTAAGATTTATTTTTATTGCAAAGTCAGATCTACAGAGAGGAGGAGAGACAGAGAGGAAGATCTTCCATTCACTGGTTCATCCCCCAAGTGGCTGCAATGGCTGGAGCTGCGCCGATCCGAAGCCAGTAGCTAGGAACAACTTCTGGGTCTCCCACACAGGTGCAGGGTTCCAAGGCTTTGGCTGTTTTGGACTGCTTTCCCAGGCTACAGGCAGGGAGCTGGATGGGAAGTGGGGCTGAGAGATTAGAACCGGCGCCCATATGGGATTCTGCTGCGTTTCAAGGCGAGGACTTTAGCTGCTAGGCCACTGTGCCAGGCACCAAAGATTGTTTTTATGTTTTGTTTTTTATTTTCTTTTTTTTTTTAAGATTATTTTCATTAAAAAGACACAAATACAGAGAGGAGAGAGAGAGGAAGATCTTTTGTCCGCTGATTCACTCTCCCAAGTGGCGACAACGGCTGGAGCTACTCCGATTCGAAGCCAGGAGCCTCCTCTGGGTCTCCCACACAGGTGTAGGCGCCCAAGGCTTTGGGCCGTCCTCAACTGCTTTCCCAGGCCACAAGCAGGGAGCTGGTTGGGAAGTGGGGACAAGAACTGGCATCCATATGGGATTCCTTCGTGCAAGGCGAGAGGATTTTAGCTGCTATGCTACTGCATCAGGCTCTTACTTATATATACATATATACATTGTTTTCTCCTTTTAAGATTTACTTAT